AGGGGGGGGGGTCCGGCAACTGGCCCTACATGTGTGTGGCCAAGGCATATGAATGAAAGGGTGGTGTGGTGTACGAATACCCAATGCATTTCCTTGACGTGGCAGATGCCTCACAAATCGGACACATGCACGGGCCCGAACATCGAGGACTAGTTGTGTTCGTCACCCAAATTGAGCCGACGGTGGGCGATCTTGTGAGGGAATGGGCTGAAACTTGGTCTGACATCTCACAATGACCTTTCGTAACACGGAGAAGCAGGTATTCACCACCCTACCCCCTCTCGGTGCCGGTAAACGCCGTAGACCATCCAGGCCACGGGAAGGGCACACAGCCAAAAAACCCATCTTGGGTAATGTGTAACTATAATGGTAATGTCTAACTATGACGGTAAACAACAACAAAGAATAACACATATGTACGGAGCACGCCTAGAAATGGGGAAGACCCCTCGAACTAGGGTTAGGACCTGTACCACGAGAGGTACTCTCGGAAAAACCCCATCTCGGTGATGTCTAACTATAATGGTAAGATGATTTGCCAAGCATGTAGGAAAATAAAGGAGATGTAAACAACAACAAAAAGGATAACACATATTTACCGAGCACGACTCGAACGGCCGAGAGTGACTCTCGGTAAAGGCAACTATTACAGAGAGCCGCTTATCAAGAGTTTGTTCTGCGCAATTACAACTTTATTGAATCCCTCAAGTAATAGTTGTTCATAACAGAATGTGTTCCAGGCTTCCAGCCCAGCAGAGCTAGCTGTTCACCCAAAAATGAGCATCAGCCACAGGAACCAAAATTAATCGCCTATATATCAGTGTTTTAAATAGAGGGCTATGGGAAATAGTGGAGGGCCTCTAAATCAGCTATAGTGAAGCTATTTGTGAAGACGACCATTTAGCGGCACCCTACTGAAAAGGATATAGCGGCTATTTAAAACTATGCTATATATTTTATCACATAGGAGTATTTTATTTCACAATGACATACTATATAATCTAATGGGAATAACCTCAAGAGGACGCCTTGAACGCCTTCCGGATCCCGCGCTTCTGCATAGTCTCCCAGCTGCAAAATTGTATGCCATGTTAGTCTCCAACTCATGTACGAGTTACATAGTAAAATCAGCACCTCCATGATCTTACACCGCACGTTGAAGACATCAATCAATTCCAGCAGCACGGTTCTCTTTGTGGTGCTCAGCTCGGAGCTGGGAGATCAGCTCAACACTATCCAGGCCAGCATTGTCAGCAATGATTGTTGGGATGGCCTGCAGGGCACACAAAAGCATCAGTTTGCATAAGATTTCTTCCCATGGGTTCCATGCAAGTTCATCCACCTCTTTGGACATCACCATCTCAGGTCATCCACCGCCAAATATGGCACACATTTCATTTACTGTCAGCACTCATAAGGCACCTCATCAAGCACATGCATGCTCACTGTAGACAAGAAGACGCATATACTCAATGTGTGACCAAATTGAATGTTACAATGTTATCACTGCATCATAAGGAGCTACACAAATAAGACATACCTTGCTCCTCTCGGGACAATGGTGGTAACTTGCCCCATGCAACCCCAGAAAAATGAATCAGCCTCTCCTCCTCAATCATAATACCCCTTCAACTGTTTTGCTCTTCAGTGACCTTGGAGTGCCCTAGGCTTAACAGAATCGAACTTGGGCTTCCAAAAGTTCAATGCCCTTAAAGTCACCATGTTCAACTTTGAGTATGCGAGCATCAGCAAAAAGTTGCATAACTGTCTGTTGATAAAGCTCTCACATTTTCTGCTTTTTAGCAGGCTCAGTATCTGCAACCTTAACTTTGTATGTGTCCATAGATGGTGTTCGCAACCAAAATACTTAGAAGGCGGATTTTCTGTGAGGATTTTTTATCTCTTGTTTTTCTTATTATGCATTCCTTTTAGAAGCATTTGACTCAATCCCGACCCTCATTTTCACTTTCTCACGAGAGCATAGTTCCTCATGTACACCCCCGCACCCCGCCCGTCGCGTCGGGCATACCACCCCTATCCCCGCCCCCACTGACACCGTGGGCATAGTCCCCCCTTTACCTGCGCCCTAGGCATAGCCCCCCGTCTACTCACCCTTGTAGCCCTACCGCGTAGACCTTAGCCTATACCATAAACTACTCCCTCCGTTCCATAATGTAAAACATTCTTCGACACTACACTAGTGTCAAAAAATATCTTACATTATGGGACAAAGTAGTAGATCGTATACACTATCTCTACTCTATATATTGCTACTTGTTGATAGCCTTGATGAGGAAATTGCTTTTAACTCTATGCAAAATGTTGTACATCGGTGATGGGGGACTAAAAAGGATGCAACAGTATCGACCTTACTTGAGCCTTTCGCTGCTTCATGAATCTTTTGCTTGGAGAGTAACGGTGACTCGCCGTTGTGTGACCTCCATGCTATTCCTCTAACGGTGGCTGCCGATGGTCTCCACCTCCTTGGTCATAGTCGTGCAGGCAGTGGTGTGACGGGATCGCAAAGGAGGAGGAGGAAGAAGCTGCTTCTTTTCCATGGAAGGTCAAGGTGGCCCAGACCTGGACCGCCCCCTGCTAAACGTGCCTAGCACCATACAACCCAAATCGGCCAGATTTTAAATGGGTCGTGTCGTGCTAGCCTGCGTGTCGAGCTCCTAATCGGCGCTTTAAGCGTCGGTTGGTTCTATCGGCGCTCGCTAGCGACGCGCGGCGGGCCAGCCCACCAACCGCCTCAAAAAGAAAAAGCAAAAATAAAAATAATTCTAATAAAAAATATGGGATCACATGATTCCAACTAAAAATCCCAACAATCGCAAGCTAATGCACTAACTACAAGACCAACCTAGTTCTTCTGTACACCACTAGAAAAACAGTCCCAGTTAACCTTTCCTTTCACGTTAACTTATTACCAATAAAAAAATTGCAAAAAGAAAAAACAAATTTGAAAACAAGATCATCAATTTATAGAAAAAATATATCAATTTTTAAGAAAATTACACAAAATTGAAAAATGATCATATATTCTGAAAAAATTTCATTGATTTTTTGAAATGTTTATCGATTTGAAAAAAGTTCATCGATTTTGATAAAAGTTCATCAATTTTGAAAAATATTCATCGATTTTTAAGAAAAGTTATCAACTTTAAAAATAGTTTGTCGGTTTTGAAAAGAGTTCATCAATTTTGAAAAAACATTCATTGATTTTAGTAAAATTCATCGATTTTTTAAAAATTTCATGTATTTAGCAAAAGAAAATTAAAATAGATAAAAAAAGAAAAAAAGAACAAAAGCATTCCAAAAAAGAGCGAGAAAGGGGGAAAATGAAAAATGAAAAAACAAGAAAAAAAGAGTGAAGAAGATATAATGGGTGGCCTGTTGTTTACAGCTGCTTACAACAAACGCAGAAGTTTTATTTATCAAAAATCACATTGTGTGGGATGCAATTTTGGTTATGGGATTGGCCAAACCAAACGTGGTGTCCTGGACCTAGCGATAATGCAAACTTGGCTAGATTGTGCTTCATGATTAACAACACGACCTTCAAAAATAAATTACAGTGAAATAAAGATGCTCTAGAAGTAAATTCGCTGATGATAGTCCTATAGTTACCCTTGCCGTTATTGGTAATGTCACCAATGACTTGTTTTGAATTGGAAGAGATGATGAACCGGTGTATGTTAAGATCTTACGTGAGGGCTAACGTCTCCCTGCAGGCAATTGCCTCCACTATTTCCGAATCATCTACCCCGCTTATAACAAGTGCCAAGCTCCCTAAAAAGAGTCGTCCCTGTCTCTGCAAATTGCTGCCGTTGCTCCGCCTCTTCCGGCCCGAATGCCGGCATCAACATGGATCTTCGAGTAGGCCGGTGATGGTGCCTTAGGTTGCTGGCCCGAACCCAGAGGTACGCGCCCAGGAGGGCCAGCCATTGACAAGCTCCCTTGATCATCTCTAGTTAATCAGATAGGTGGCACTGGGGGGAGACAACTCTCCTCCACTCTTCGGCTCAGGCGACAACGAAAAGGGCCTCGTCGACCCATACATCAACAAAGTTTTCATCTTGGGCCTGGCGGGCGACTAAGATGGTTTCTTCTGGCCGAGCGGATGCAAAATGTCTCTCTTCATTGTGGGTGGCTATGACCAGGCCATAGAAATGTAAATGTAATTTCTGAAAAGGAGAATATAGTTTTGAGATTTGTTGTCTTTTTTTTTGTTTTCTAAAAAAATCACAATCGTGTCGGACCTGACACTCATTTTCATCACATTGGGCCTGTTTTCCTTTAATGGGCCTCAACAGCTGCTCAAAAGAAGTGAGCAGAAAACAAATGCGGCTCAGTCACGCACGGTGGCCTGGCCCGTCAGATAGGCAGGGAGTGAGTAGGTAGGTGTGAGGGCGAGAGAGACTGAGGCGCCGCTGTTCTCGCCGCCGTCTCCTCGGACGCCGGCGCGTCGCTCGGGTCCTCGGACGGCGGCGCCGCCGAGCCACTTCGCACATACCAGTACGCCTTTCTTTAGTTTCTTCTTAGTCCTAGTAGTAATGGGAATCGGAGGTGAAACCCTAGCTAGTTAAAAAAGGTAGCAGATCTAAGTAACACAACGAACGAACTGATTCCATTAGGTCTACCTACCAAGAGGCTGCTCTGTGCGTAATCTGGTCGAGCAATCGCTCGTTAGATTGTTGGTGTTACACACACACATTTTATAGTTCGATTTGGCCGGCCGTCTGAAGCCTACCTAGGTCTAAGAATGCATTATTTTAAGTGTACAAGATAGAAACGGACGTCCCAAGGCCACAATTGATTGCATTTTGTGATTCCCAGCATCGTTAGTTGCTTGTCAACCTGAGCAGAGCAGTGCTCATCTTGTTCAATGTTGGGACTCACTTATAATTCTTTTCTTATATTACTGAACTGCAGCGTCTATATATAATAATGTGATTTATGCACTGCGGTCTGTGATTTGATTTCTAGAAAGAAAAGGTATGGCTGTTGCGGAGATATGTTCAAATTCGCCGAAGAGGAAAAGTTGTTTCCTTGGAACAGAAAATAGGACCCTTAAATCATATCATGTGGTAGGTAGATAGACACAAATCTTAATAATCTGATGAGCTCACCATCTCACCCCTTTTGGTAATCTCTTCGCGTTAAAGACCAGACTTGCCCCTCAGATCTAGTTTTACTAAGGTAGTTGAAGAAGAGATACTGCGATGCAGTCCGGTGAACCAGTGCTAGGATCAATACTCAGATTCTGAATTCAAGGGTCAACTGCCTTGGAGAACTTAGCTCCTTGAGTAGTCCTCACCCTGTTCGGTGTTGGGAACTTTCAACTTTTTTTCTTCTAACTTAACTTAACTGCCCTATCCGTTGGGAACTGATAATTTCTGCTCACCGGTCATTATTATTTTACTGATAACTGGAAAGGATACTGTCCTGAAATTGAAACCTCTGACTAAAGCTCATCGATCTCGGTATCATGATGTTTTTTCACTTTTTGTATTTTTGTGTGCCAACTAGTGAAGTGGCCTGATTCCGTTGTTAAGAGTTGTTAGAACTTTATGTTTGGTTGCAGTGCCAGCTGATTACCATTGTCTGCGTGTGGCGCCATTTTTTGCTTTTGCTGCTAATCAAAATCAAGGATGCCACTCCTGGGTATTTTCTAACTGCTGCGAGACAATCGTTTGAAATACTGTAATAACTTATTAGAGGAACCCTACAAGTTTGCTGATATGTGGATAATGATCTCATTTTTTTGTTTCTAACTTCTAAGATGTCTCTGCGGCGTGTATATCTGTGATTTTGATTACTGATTCATTGCCCTGCTGGATACATGCAGCCAGCTGTTTGATAAAATGTCGACCCGCAGTTCCAAGAGGGCGCGAGGCGCCAGCGATGGCGTCGACAGGCTCAGCAGCCTTCCCAACGATCTGCTCCACCGCGTGATGTCCTTCCTGCCGATGCCGGAGGTCGTGCGCACAAGTCTGCTCTCGCCGAGGTGGCGCTATCTCTGGGTCTCTACTCCATACATCCGCATTGACCACCAGGACTTCATGGATGACAGCAAGCTCAAGAATTTTGGGAACCGCCTGCTGCTCTTACGTGACGGTGCCACTTCCTTAGATGAAGCCCGGATCTCTGCCCACAATGTTGTTGATGGTACAACGTGTTGTGAGTGGATCCGTCATGCCATCATGCACAAAGTTCGTCTGCTTCATGTTTCTGCATATGCCCGTTTGGATAGCACAGCCATGTTTCCTTCACAGCACCTCAAAATAGTCAGGCTCAAATCTAACTTGTTGAAACATGGATTCTTTAGGCAGCTGAACTGCGACTGCTCAGTGCTTGAACATTTAGAGCTGGAGGGTTGCGGTTTGTCTGACGTAAACGAGATCTCATCGAGGTCCCTCAAGGTTCTACATATCATTCGCTGCCATATCGTTAAGGGCCTCGTAATTTGTGCTAGCAACCTTACCCATCTCTCTATCGTTGAACCAAGATGTCGTTCTGGTGCTATAGTAACTAGGGATCTGCCTTCTCTAGTAACAGCTTCAGTTAGTCTGAGATTCGACGAGTTTCATTATAAGGAAAACACAATGCTGGGTCATGGTCTACTTGATGGCCTCTCACATGCCACGACCTTGCAGTTGCATGCACCATTACCTGAGGTACGAACTAGTTCTTTTCTTTTCATGTGCATACAAGTTTCGATGAACGTACTTGCTTGCTTAGTTAGATTTTGTTATATAACTGCTTCTCTGACTTAAATTCAGAGGATCTTCACTTTTTTCAGCTTACTTGTTTTCCCTCCTATGTGCTGGTATTATTTTAACAAGCTAGCTTGAATATATCGAATAATCAAACTACTCAACTCGCTGTCATCATTTTGATTTCACTAAAGTTAGCACTCGAGAGAGGTTTGCGGACATGCCCGGTGTTCAGCAACCTGACAAGTCTGGTGTTGGGTGATTGGTGCATGGCTGCTGACTTCTATCCGCTGCGTCACATTCTACATCGCTCGCCCAAACTGAAGGAGCTAAGTTTCAACCTCGAAATGGTACCCTCTCAGAACCATCTCTAAATACCAATTGACCTGCTGGAACAGCAGAACCTCTTGGGTCCTTACTGATATACTACCTTAATGTTGACACCCTGCAGGAGGAATGTAGAAAATGTAAGGAATTGGAATCTGCTTTGCCATCATCAAGGGGAGCTCCGTCGTCAGGCGCAGGCAGCCACCCTTGCATCGAGAGGATCAAGATCCACTGCCAGAAAGAAGATCCAAGGGTCGGTGCGTTGGTGCAGGCATTGTTACTGGTCAGTGATGCGGAAATTGGCATCGAGCGTCGCTGAACTATGTTAATCAAGACCTTGTTTTGTTTTGGGACCTGCCACAATTGGTCAGTGCTAAGTTAGTTTTTTGAGACAAAGGTGTTTGGAGTTCCTATGTTAATGAGAAAAGGGCCACACTCCTTGTCAGAAAGCAGCGGCGAAGTGAGTCCCGATATCATGTTTTAGATAGTGGGTGCACACTCGTTGCGGTCGAATTTCGCTAATATAATGGTGATGGTTTGATCTTAGCTAGTTGGTCAACATAAACTAGTTGGGTGTTCAGGAGACATGATGGATTATGGTTGCTGGGTATTCTAGTTCTTCTGAAACGTTATATATGTAGTTGTGTTCTAGCCAACTATTGGATATATTTTCCTTATCTGTATGTATGATGAGGTCAGAGGAGCCGATAAAAGTGTCGTTAGTGAAACTACCTTAATGTTGACACTAGCAGGAATGTACCGCCATCTTCAAGGGCAGTGTCGGACTCAGGCAGCTATCCTTGCATTGAGAGGATCAAAATCTACTGCCAGGAAGAAAGATCCAACGGACCGATTGTCGGCGATGCGAAAATCAGCATCGACTGTCTCTGATATCTGTTAGTCAGGAGCTTGTTTTGTTTTTTAAGACCTGGCATCTTTGATCGGTGCTAAGTTAAAGAGCTGCTGGTGACAGAAAGTAGTTGCCAAATGAGTAGTCATCATGTCTTGTGGTTCCAGAACCACCACCATGTTTTAGATGATGGGTGCGTACTTGTTGCGATTGGAATTCGCTATATATATATATATCCAAAACAATAAGGTGTGCATCAAGGAGGGATTCTCGCATGCATGTGCCATGTCATCACAGGTATTAGAAAAAAACGAATCGAGCTAGCGAATGGGACCTCGTTTTCGTCAGTTCAGCAAACTTCTTGTTTACAAACTTTTGCTCGTTCTATGTGTGGCAGTTCAGCAAATTACAAGGCAGTGAACTCAGTTTCACTCTGTACACAAAATTATGAGAGGACATCCATCTTGCTGCAGTGTTTTATGGAACATGGTGAAGGTGCGTGTACTGCTTTTCCTTTTTCTGGTTTCATGAAATCCATTCTGTTGTGAATTGTGGTTATTGTAACCATGTAGGATCACTTAGCATCTAAGAAACTTAGCGGGTTTAATTTTGCGGTTAGAGGGCTATTACCAGCTGCATAGCCACACCTAAAAAAATATTGCATGTTGTGATAGTTAATTATATTGCCAAATATGGAGTGTGGTCCAAGTTGGAGGCCATGCATTTTATAAGGGACACTTCTTTATTTTGTCACGTCAATACTAGAAAAATTTGAATGCAATGATGAGTAAATATTTCTTGAAGAAATCTCATACAGGACTTATAAATTCTTGCCAAACTTATCATTCTTTTGTTGAACTGATGGTTAGTCTGTTCATGATTTTAAAGGTTAGGGACCGGTGCTTGGACTCGTTCTGCGACATCTGGTATTTTTCAGAAGTGAGGAATTAGGACGACCAGCTTGCTTTCACGCAGATGATTAAGATGATCAAAGTGCATCATAATAACATGGTTCCGACTATGGCTTTGGGAGTGCAACATCGGAAAACTGAACAGTTCAGCTCAGGGAAGCTTTCCCCAGGATTCGACAAGATCCACGAGTTCCTTGAGTGATTTTATATGCCAAGGATTGGTACTCGCATGCTGATAGGTTTGTGAGCTTGGCACTACTCTTATTTCTGCAGCTATATTTATAAACCTTGTCTCAATTCTTGTCATCATATCCTAAATCTTGCTTATGGTTCAGAACAAATGATGGATTATGAACCTTTTCTGATAGCTGATGCAGTAACATCTACTGGAGTTCAATGCTAGTATGTCCTAAATCTTGCTTGTGGTTCAGCACAAATGATGGATTATGAACCTTTTTTAATAGCTGATGCAGTAACATCTACTGGAGTTCAATGTTAATCTGTCAAGCAAAGCCTTTTCTTTTGGCCAATTTGCAAATTTGACTTGTATTGACAGACAATTTATTTTGGTTGCTTAACTTGATTAGGCTGAAAATTACAATTTATGTTTGTGTGGGTGTCCTAGCTCATCATGTGTGCTTGACATAATTCCACCACCACTATTTATAGGAATGCCCACTACATCATGTTCAGAAGGTTGAGTAAAAGTTCAACTGCGTAAAGATGACAAGGATCTAATATCCACCCTCCTCCATATTATTTTCTGCTATGATATATTCAGTGTTTAACAAGGGAGATCGATGCGCTTTGGTGTACATGATGGTATGATCCTTTTTTTATTGATTTCTTATGCCATCAAGACTTGTTTCACTCAGTTTTCCGCTTTGTTTAGACCATACTTCATTCTGCAACCATAGAAGATCATTTATTATACTAGCTTATGTACCATCATTAGCTAACTCATTTTCCCAAAAGCTTGTCAGTGGCCACTTTCACACCATCTCTCCATTATTGTTGTAACTTAATCTCTGTTTTATCAGGACCTTTTCGCTCAGTCACCAAGCAGTTGGATAGTGGTGATCACCTGACACTCTAGCTACCTAGTAGTGTGAGGACAAAGACTCTAAAAGATCAGAAATTTCCCTTCTCTTTTTATAGTGCATTTATCTATTTCAGCATGAATGAAGTTGTAACTTGCAACATCCTGAACATTTATCAAACTCACTACCTGTAAGTAATGCATATCCTGATGATTGGCCGGAGTATGCATATCTGCAAGTAAGTCCTCTTGGGATCCTTCCACCTAGCCGGCCGGCCTCACCACTGGGGACTGGGACATGAGAACCAGCGCCACTGCCATGTCTGCTGGTGATGCTCGACGTCCACCCAGCTTTTTTGATGTGCTATTTGCTCTTTTTCATAAGTTAGGTGTAGCCTACATGATTAATTTTGTACGTGCGCTGTACTTTTGTGTTGTATCTTTTTTGTCCAAGAAGCAGCAGCATGCTTCTGTCAGTGTTATTTTACTACTATCCATTGGCATGTGCTACCTAGATCAGAAAAGAGGAGTGAAAAGGGTGTATGTGCATGAGAAGTCCATCGCTGCACGCAGTGCATCCACGGCTGGCGGAGCGTCGCGATTAGGACTAGCTGGAAGTGCTACTTCGAGTATAGAGCACCGCCAACTAGCGTAATGTTTCATATTCGTTGTATCCGTTGTACTATGCACTGACAGCCGGACTGACTCATCTGCTGCAAGCACTGCACATGTACAGGCGGAAGGACACAATATTACCGTTGCACCGAACACTGTATAACGTAAACACTTTACCCAGCTGCATGTATTTAAGGCTCATGAACCAGCCGCTGCGTGCAGGACCGATCGTTTTGCACGTTCTGCTTCAAACACGCACACAAGCACCCCGAGTTGCCGTGATCCGTCGACGTCGCCGTGCCGCAATGTCCCGGAGCTCATCTTCCGCTCATCGTCTCCGGACACCCCTGCCCCCACTGCCATTGATCCTGTGCCCGAGGTGTGCCGGGACGAGGACTAGATGGTTTGTCTCCGGGATAGACCGGAATCCCGGCGTCCGTTTTTACAAGTGCCCGAACCAGGGAGCAAGTCTGTTATCTGTACACCCATCCATCAGATGTTGCAGTTTTCTTCTATTTGCTTTGTATTTTCTTGTTCATCATTCAGTTTTCAGTTTTGAAACTGACGCGGGACGGAGGCCCGTGCGACTTTTGGTTGTGGGAGGACCAGTACGCGTTCTTCATCACCGGCGTTGGCATCAACCTTCTCATCGAGGCGGCCGGAGGTGGGAGCAACGTGATGTTTGGTATCGGACGCGCCATGGAAGATGTATATTTTTTTAGTCAATGGAAAATAACCAGTGTACATAATGCGGCGCGTATCAGGAGAGAACGGGCGGACTACTGATTCCGGCGGGCCTACTCCTGACGCGGCCGCCGTGGCGCCGCCACCGGCCGTAACGGAAGCCCCCAAGCGCGCTGCTGAATCATTGGCAGTCGACGTCGATCTGCAGTACCGGCGAGCGGTGCGAGCTCGTAAGTTACAGATTCCATCGAAGAACAAAAATAAAAGAGCAGAGTTTTCACTCACCCAAAGTCGAGCGCCGGCGCCTCCGCAGCTGGAATCGCCATGAACAGAGCCTGACCGACCACGGGCGCGCGCCACTGCCTCCGGCTCGCCGCAGTCCTCCCCCCAAATCCGAAAAGGAATCCCGTGCTGGACGTAGGACCTGAGAGTGGCCGTGCTAGACGTACACGCCACCCAGCCGAAGCGAGGGCCCGTGAGCCGAAATGCAATAATGTGCGCCCTGCATTTTCTGACCGGACCGGCCCAATCGTACGACCGAACGTACCTCGGCGAGCCCACAAGGGGCGACTTAGGGGATGTATTTGCTTGTATCCAGGCTTTACTGAATCTGACGTTTTCTTTTGCACAGATCACCTCGCGCAGCAGGGCCGTCGATGCGCTGCGTGCATCTGCCACTGCGTGCAGGACGGCCGCTCTCGTATGTGCATGTACCAAAGCTAAGAAGTTTATCTGCATTCAATCAGTTCAGCAATAGTTGCAAGTACACTGCTGCCTAGACCACAAAAGGCAAGTGAAAAGGTGCGGCCACCTACCAGGCCCCGCCGAACTTCCTCTTAGGCCTCATTTGGTTGTTGGGTAGGAAAATACCAGGGAAATAAACCCCTAGAGGGGGATTTCCCTGTTCTCGTGAGATCCCTCCCCCAACGTGGGAGACGTTCCACTGCCCCAGGTGCCCAAATGGCAACAGGGGGGAGGGAAGGAAATCCCTCAAACAACACAGATAACAAACACAACTCAAATAAGATCACCTGATGATGTAGTACAGCAATTAAGATACAAGGGCTCTGATCCACAAATAATTCAAAAAAAAACATACAAAATTTCAAAATTCATGTAAACTAGAATTTTAAGAAATATTCCAACTGGTAACCATCAATTCACCAAGGTTCAAATATCGGTCGGGCTATGTTTCAATGCGATCAAGTGTTGGCTTAAAC